TTCCCTGCGATGCCTAAGAGCCCCTTCTCTCCATGTCTGTCAGCTCTGGATGTCATCAAACTTTTAAATTTCCACTCTGCTAGGTGCTTTGATCTGTATGTCTTTAATTATAAGTAAGTTTGACCACCTTTTCATACGTTTATTCACCATTTAGATTTCTTTTTCTATTAAAAAAAAAAGTACTTCTTTTCCTTTGCCCATTGTCCTATTGGCACTTGACTTATATGAGCTTTTATAAATTCGAGACATTTTCCTTTTATTTTATATTGACTGCTTGTTGCACTTATCATTCACCTTTCTACTTTATGATTTTTTTCATAGAAAAGATTTTTACTTAGGTAACTTAACATACCTTTTTTTATTTCTTTTTTTGGATTCTGTGTTTTGCATCCTACTTAGAAAAGCTCTCCCTACTCCAATGTCATAAATTTAGCCGAGATTTCTCCTAGGATTGTTTTTGTTTTCTTTTTCACATGTAGATTTGTGACATCAGGATTGTATTTTGGGGTTAGAAATGAGATAAATATCCAGTCGTCGTCCCCCTCCCCCCCACCCCCAATTAGCCAATTGTGTGAATATAACTTAATGTGTAACCCCTTTTTTCCTCACTAATTTGAAATGCCAGCTTTCTCATAACCTAAGTTCACATATATATTTAGGTCTATTTCTGGATATTATGTTTTATTAATCTATTTATTATCTCATGTCAAACAATTTTAATTATTATAGCTTCATAATATGTTTTAAAACTGAGTCATAATGGCCACCTTAACTCTATTTTTTCCAAATTTTCCTAACTCTACTCTCATGTTTAGTTTTCCAGATAAATGTTAATGTCATTTTAGGCTAAGCTTTAAGTCTGCACATCACAGGGAGAATGACCAGCACATCTGAAAATACTGCTTATTTTTCTTGGTGTCATAAGAAAAACATATATGTTAGGAGTGAATAGGTAGAGGGGATAATGATGAGCTAGAGAAATATAAATACACTTGAATTGGTTGACTATATCCCAGATGCAATAAAAGAGTCGGAATGGAAAGAAATAGCTAAAAATCATTTTTCTTTTTTCTTTATTTGATTTTGATCTGAGTTGAGAAGAGGGGAGATGGATAGATACGTGGGGTGGTTTACATCATAGGCATGCTAAGTGAAACAAAATAATTTCATTGTATGGAATAATAAAACCTGAATATATAATCCTATTTTTTTCAAGTAACTAGTCACATGGAAATGAAATTTTTCTCTTGGAGAGGAAAAATAGCATAACGGCATATTAAAATGCAATTCCTAAAAGCAATGTAAACAGTTTTTAAGTCCGTATGTAAATGGCAATGGACGCGCAAAACAAATTACCTGTCAGGGACCGAGCCGGCACATGTTTCACTTGTGCCATTTGCGCCCGGGTGTTGGGTGACTGTGTCTTTGTGTCTGTTCCGTCATTCACTCGCACGAAATGTGTTTAATGCAAAATCCCCAGGGTCGTTTCCAATGTTGCAGTTGCCTCGTCACAACTGTCGAGCCTAAAGTGAAGGAGAAAGTTTGTGAAGCT